AAGGGAGACCTTGAAATGTTCTTTTTGATGATAAATGTGATGTCATTCCTCTTGAATTTGTTGTTCCTAGCATAGTAAACCATATGAATATAAGATTTAAAATGCCAATACCAGGTCATTTTAGCTCACAAATTCATAGGGTATCGAGCTTTATGCATTCTATTTTATTTGTGGCCACCTCCAATTTTCCTGTATTCATTTCTTCATATTTCATACATTCTATGTTCCAGTTATTAATGGATGTTTGCAGCTGCCTCTCCTCATTTTGAGTTGTGCCCCATCAGCAAATGAAGGTCCTGAAATCTTTATTCCAGTCACATCATCATGTTCAACTCTATTTTGAGAAGGCAGTTCTTCTCCAGTCATTATTTTGAGTGCCTTCCAACCTGAGGGGCTCATCTTCCAACACTATTGCTGATTATGTTCTGAGGCTATTCATGTTTTCATCTTCTGGTACTATGTCTGACAATTTCCCACTGCTAATCATAAGGTTTTCAGTGGCTAAACATTCCAAAGAAGTCCCCCTCTCCTTCCTATCTTGTCTTAGTCCAGAAGTTCCACCTAAACCTGTCCACCATGGGTGGCCCTACTGGTATTTAAAATACTGGTGGCATAGCTTTCAGCATCACAGCAACTCACAAGCCACCACTGTATGACAAACTGACAGACGAGAGGTGTGTTAGGTGAGGAGTCAAGTGCAAACCCAGGGACAAGTTCCAACAAAGATAGATCAAATTATCAGACACTTTTCCTCTCCAGCAGTTTTGGAAATGCCAGATTCTGACATAAAATTTCCACCAGCACCTATTCTGTTCCCAAGAGCTGAAATGCCTGTTTTGTTGCCAACCCAGCAGTTGCCCATCTGGGAGGTACTGATTCCAAGGCATTTGAATAAACTGGTTCCTGGTTTCCAAAGAGCAGCCATTCCATACAACCTCAAGATGTGTTGATTTAGGTATACAATTTTTTCACTTCATGTATGCAGGTTTCCTCGAAAAGATTTTATAATTCAGTCAATCTGTAAGCTACTTATGAACACATCTATTGTTTTCAATGGTAGGTTCTTCTAGGATATATTGAGCAAATGTCTAACCAATAAAGATGCCTGTGGTTTCCAAGTTTGTATCCCACTGCACAATTCTAGTTTTATAAAATGAATGCCTAGGGATGTCACTGGATGGTACAAAAAGTTAAGCACTCAGCTACTAACCAAAAGGTTAGTAGTTCAAATCCACTCACAGGGATCTTGAATAAAAGACCTCCTGATGGACTACTTCAAAAGGCCATAAACCATGGAATACCCTCTGATGCACACAGGTTTTTCTACTGTGACTCACATTGGGTCACCATGAGTTGAAGTTGACTCAATGACAACTGAACTTGAAGAGGTATCACTAGAGGGGACAGAAAGTGAGGCAAAGTGAAGAAAGGACACAGGATGGGTACAACACGATCAACATATGCGAATTACCCATCAGTGGACAGCACATTGCTTGAACCACAGCCTTAATCTATGTGATGCACAGCAAAAGAGAATTAACCTATTTTTGCTGTAATGTGTTGCCTTTGTTGTTTTGTTGCCTTCAAGTCAATTCTGACTCATGGTGATCCAAGTATAGCAGAATAAAAGGTTGCCCAGTCCTGATCCAACGCCATCATTATTGGTACATTGGTATATTGTTGTGATGATTGTGTCCATTCATCTCATTGAAAGAGCTTCCCTTACTTTCACTGACCCCTTTCCTTTACCAATGATCATTTTTAAAACTTTTTATTGAGAATTGAGTGAAGGTTTACAGAGCAGACCATCCGTTTTTACATTCAGCAAATCATACACTTCGTTTCATCTCAATGATTGCAATCCCCTCCATGTAACAACAGTTATCCCACTTCCTCCCTTTGATTCTTGTTTCCATTCCACCTTCTTTCCCCATCATTCTGAATTTTGTCCTTAGGTAAATGCTGCTTTTTTATCTCAAATGGTTGCCCATTCTATGGGATATGTACCTCACTAGCCCATATATACCTATCGATCGTTTGGCTAAAAATTGAGCTATGGGGTCAATTCATTTCCAGACCTGAAGGGTGACCAAGGGCCATAGTCTCGGGGCCCCACCATTCTCTATTGGCTAGTATAACTGGTCTTTATGATTATGACTTTTGTTCCACATTTTCTCCCACTCTATCCAGGGCTTTCTAATGAGATCCCATTCAGAGCATTTGGTAGTGGACACCATCTAGTCCTTCTGGTCTCAGAGTCATGGAGACCATTAGACTCATCACTTCCAAACATCTTCAGTTTTCATTGTGAGGCATTTTTCCAGTGATTGGTCTTTCCTGATAAAGCATGTCCAAAATAAAGGACAAAGGTCAAAGTCTCACCACCTTTACTTCTAAGGAACATTCTGGCTGTATTTCTCCTAAGACTTAAATGGTATATGCAGTTTTCTTTGCCATCAACCACTATCAATGGTGCCTAATCACCCAGCCAAGGGCTCTGCAGGCAGGCGTAACCTCTCACCGGTTACTGGGTGAAAGCTGGTATCTAATACATCATTCGAATGCTGTTTTGGAGAGGTCCTGAGATGATTTTTAGAATTTGTCAAATGAGATTTCCATAGTAGGTATAAAGAGTTAATTCATAAAGCTCTACTGAACCTTTTCTTTCCCCCAATGTTAATGTTTGTTAAGCCACTGAAATAGAGGAAAAACTAGGTGCATTTGAAGTGACAAAAGAAAGACAGAAATAAAAGACAGTGTTGTCTAACATCTGGGTGTGAAAATAATGCCCTGGTTTTTTTGCCAAGAGTAACTGTATGGTGGTGGTGATGGTTGTGTGCCATCGAATTGGTTCCAATTTATAACAATCCTATATAGGGTTTCTGAGACTGTTAATCTCAAGGGAGCAGAAAGCTTCGTCTTTCTCCTATGGAGCTGATGGTGGATTCGAAGTGTTGACCTTGTGGTTAGCAGCCTAACACATAACCCACTGTGCCACAAGAGTTCATTAGAGAAATTGTATTATAAGTGCCATCAAGTCGGTTCCGACTCACAGTGACCCTGTATGGGGTTTCCAAGGAGCACCTGGTTGGTTTGAACTGCCGACCTTATGGTTCCCAGTCCAGTGCTTACTCTATAGTGCCACACCAGGAAATCAAGAGAAACTGTATCGTCAAACATAAAAGTATTCTTGAGAATGAGCCACAGAGTCATTTGCTCCTAGACCCTGAATGATGATGAACAAATTATGATTTTCATATTCCTTGGATGGGGAGTTAACTCCTAGTGTGGCACTACAGGATCAGCACTGGACTGTAAACCACAAGGTTGGCAATTCAAGTCCACCAGCTGCTTCTCAGAAACTCTATACAGGGTCGCTATAAGTCAGAACCAACTCAACAGCACTTAACAACAACAACCAAAAAGTTGGTGGTTCCAGATCACTCAGAGATACCGCATCAGAAAACAGGTCTGGTGATCTACTTCTGGGAAATTAGTCAGTGAAAATTCTATGAAGTAGAACACAGTTCTACTCTGACACACATGGGGCCACCAGGCATCAGAACTGACTCAATGGAAATTGGTGCTTTTTGTTTGTTTGTTCTGGATTATGACTCGATCCTCAAACTTCCTTCCAATGGGCTCCAGTTTCTAAATTGTTCCTCCTTGGACAACTCTCTCTATGTAACTACTATTGTACTGCAGGCTTTGACAAATAATTTATTTTAAAAAGGACATAGGACGCACTCCCTCTCATTTTGTGTCCTTACATCCGTTGAAATACAGGGAGAAGACACAACAAAGCTATGAGGACAACATTTCTGAATCAAACTATTTTTCACTATTTTAACATAACCTGTACAAAAGTTCTTCATCTGAGTTTATGTAAAAGATGTCATTTGAATAATCCAGAAAAACATGTGACCAAGAAACATCTGTCTGTGTTTGAAATTCATTTTGTGGTATTTTAAATGTTTTACTTAAGTTTAAACTATTCTTATTATTAAATTTCATTTTTGCAACCATTACTAAGTGTCAGAAATAAAAGGAGGTGATCTCGATGTATTGTCTGGACATTCAAAATATACTCTGGATAATTCCCAAAGTCAATCTTCCAGAAAAAAATTATTTAGCAGAATTGCCAACATTACACTTTAAGGATAATCTTGCTTATAAAACAAAACAAAAAAAGTCATACCAATCAGCTTGATATTATTGTCTTCATCTAGGAGCAGATTTTCTATCTTCAAGTCCCTGGAATAAATAAAACCAGACAGTAGCTCAGATACACATTTACAACAGCAGACAGTAGCTCAGATACACATTTACAACAGCAGAGCAACGTTTGACTGAAGAGAAAGGGACTGTTTAAGAAACACTTTGAACCAACCCATGAAGCATTCTGCTGATGCTCACTGAGTCAATCAATACATAAATATCAAATGTGAGGTAAATACCATTAGCAAAAAAGGTAAAGGGTTTCACAAAAGACTGAGAGCAACTAGGACTGAAGAAACCAGGAATTATCTGAAAGAAGTCAGACCAAAGCTGGAACCTGGAAGTTAAATTTCAGAACTAAGGTTACACTCAAATCAAACCAAACCAAACCCAGTCCATCAAGTTGATTCTGACTCAGCGACACTACTAGGGTTTCTGAGGCTGTAAATCTTTATAGGAGTAAAAAGCCTCATCTTTCTCCCACAAAGTGGCTGGTGGGTTTAAACTGCCAACTTTTCAGCTAGAAGTCTAGTGCTTATTCTACAGCACCACCAGTGTTCCCGAACTAGGGTGGTTTATAAGTGTCGCTGAGTGGGCTCGAACTCATAGAGACCCTGTACACGGTTTCTGAGAGTAGCTGGTGGGCTTGAACTGCCAGTGTTTATTCTACAGTGCCACACCAGGAGAGTAAAACATAGCATTTAAGATTGGTTCTGCCAGAGCCATCAAGGAAACACAAATGTGACTGTGTATTTTCCAGACTGTGAGCAAAGGAAAGAACAGATTCAGAAATCAGGAAAAGAAAAGTTTTTTTTGTTTTGTTTGAAACATGTATTGTTCTTGGGTATCATCAAGTCGATTGTGACTCACAGCGACCCTGTACACTACAGTGCAACTGCCTTACTGGGTTTTCTTGGTTATGTTTCTCATGGAAGCAGATAGCCAGGTCTTTATTCCGTGCAGCTGCTGAGTGGATTCAAATCATCAACTTTTCAGTTAGCAGCTGAGCACTTAACTGTTTGTGCCACAAGTACTCCTTAAGTAAATAAACACATACACACAGATTTTCATATAGATATAACTATATTAATATAATTCCTTAATGATCTGCTCTCATAAAGATTGTTTTTTGTTGTTTTTAAGTACTGTCGAGTCGGTTCCGACTCATAACAACCCTATACAGGGTTTCCAAGCAGTGGCTGATGAGCTTGAACCACCCACCTTGAGGTTCAAACTGAACTTGCAGTCCAGTGCATTAACTCATAAAGAAAGCCTTGTGTTATTGTTTCTAAGTGTCATCGAGTTGGTTCTGACTCATAGCAACCCTATATATATATGTTTCTGAGGAACAGCTGATGGGATTGAACTGCCAACCTTTAGGCACTCAATCCAGTACTGGTCCTACAATGTCACATAGGAAACCCTATGGGGTGGTTCTACTCTGTCATACAGAATTGTGATGAGTCAGAATCAACTCGACAGCACATGACTGCACATCATATATTTGTTGTGGCTGTTGTAAAGTGCTGTCGAGTTGGTTCTGACTCATAGCAATCCTGTATAGGATTTCTGAAGAGCAGCTAGTGGATTTGAACCAACCTTGCAAAAAAGTTCGTGGAAAAACTCCATTACATTTTCATTGCACTTTTCTATTAATTTTTTGAAGCCCCCTTATATTTGCTAATCAGAACCAGCCAATGGTTATAAACTCTGGCATCTTAAGTTGCTAGCTGCCAACCAAACACATCTTGAATATTACATATTCTTCTCTTCCCGAAAACAATAAAACTTGCTTCCATTGTTTTTGAAACACACCATTCTTGTCCAGCTCTAACTTTCTCACTTTTGAATAGACATCCAAGCACAAGACACATTTTCTTGCTCCTATCTCTTTGTAAGGACAAGAATAGCACAATCATGAAACATAAAAATGGCAATGATGGGCTCCCTCTGGGCCCAGAGGCCAGGGGGAACAGTAGACAAGACAGTAGTGAGCCGTAACACTGTGTCTCATTTAACAGGGACAGCCATCCCCGGCTCAGCCACAGCTCTGCCAGCTCTTCCGGTTTTACACGAGCTGGATTTGATCCCAATTTTTCAATATTGACAATTTCAAATTCAAAACAGCATTAACAACATTGAGTGGGCCAACCTTGAAGACAAAATAGGGCACGCAGTCCACTAACCTCGAACTTCAGTGCAGGTGGAAGTCAAGTTTTTTAAAAAGGTGGTCCAGAGAGAGGGAAGAAACGGAGGAAAAAGAAGACCACAGTCAGCACATAGAGGGGGAATATCAACATTCAAACCAGAGTGGAAAGGAACAGAGGAGTAGCAAGCCACTGTCACGAGAACAAAGGAGTCAAGATTCAAGATGGAAATAAACGTTAGAAGTCTTGCAGACCAGCCTGCAGTGGCTAGAGGAATAGAAGATACTTCTTGAAAGAAAGACCAGCAGGAAAAAACAAAAACAAAAATGGCAGTCTGTTTGGCTATTACAAGAATAAATAAGCTGTTTACCTGGAAGCCATCAAAGCAAGCAATCAAGTCCTTTCAGGATAAACCCCTTTCCAAGACTGAAACTCAAAGGGAACACACAAGCAGGCATGTAAGCTCGCTGGGAACCACATTGGTCTAGTTGTGAGTGGAAGTGGGGGAAAGATAGTAATGAAGATATGGGCTGAGTTCAACCGAGTTCTATAGACTCCTGTCGACCTCGAGATAAGAGAGAGAAGAGGAAGGACTGGTTGGTCCGAAGTTTAGGGAGACTTGGGAACGCCTGAGTCCGTGGACACTGGCCTAGCTAGCCATGGGAAGCTAGAGATGAGAGTGAAGTGTCCAGCTGGTATAAAGTGTGTGTATGTGTGTGTGTGCACAAGAATGCTCAAACTTACAGATAGTACCTATTTGACCTAGCTTGGATGGCTTGATGATCAGAATTCAACTAGAGGATGATAAAGAAGTTTGATACAGGAAGCAAGGGTAAATTGCTACAATTTGATGAACATGATGTGACCTATACTTATGGATGTAGTAGCTCAAAATACCAATCAAAAGGGAAGGAGTCTTCACATCAAGGATCAAGCCTATCCCCTCAGTACACAGGATTGATAGGAACATGTAACTTAGACATTGACTACTTAAAATACCTAAAATGGGGGGGAAGGGGTGTTTAAAGGCACAAAGTTTTCACAAGAAGGAGTTTAGTTTCTGAGTGAGCAGGGAAGGTGGAATCCCCAATGAATAGTTTTCATCCTGTCTAGGGGGCTCTGGTGAGAGGAGATGGGAATAGGATTCTTTTGATTCAATAGTGAGTAACTGTTATCATGACTAATTGCGACTGTCATAACTGTAAAGGTAGAAGTTGTATAATAAAACGAGGGAGTAGTTAATCTGACATTCCAGGAACAGAAGACCCTAGGAACATCAAGAGTGAAAAGTATGAGCGGAACATGGGATCCTAACTAGAAAAGCAGCAACAGATGGAGGCAGAGATGATGGCATGGAGAGATAAAGCAGCTGAGGATGCTAGGCTCATGGAAAGAGAAAGGCTGTGTGTTGGCAGGCAGGCTTGCAGAATGTGCCCTTTGGTTTTTTAAACGATTATATATTCATGCGTGTTTTTGTGTGCATCAAAGAAAAAGGCAGAAACAGAGGCAAATACTGTTAGCTTGGTGGTGCATGGAGAGGATTGTAACCATTGCAATGTAACAAAATACGATTAGTTAAATGCAAAACGAATGTTCTTCCATGTAAACTATCACTCAATTCACAATAAAAGTTTAAAAAAAAAAAAAGGTTAAGGCATCAAACATAGGCAAAAGAGAGCAGTAAGAATGTAGTGGATTTCCAAATTCAGCCTGAGGATTGAAGACTTGGATGAGAAGGAGAATCTGTGTTTAAACTCATACCTGTTGTTCTTCTTAGTTGTCATCAAGTCAATTCCCTACCTGGCGACCCCATGTGTGCAGGGTAGAACTGTTCCATCAGAAGCCAATGAGCAGGCCTAGCATTCAGGGTGCCTTTGGGTGGGTTCATATAGCCAAACTTCCTGCTAACAGTTCAGCTATTAAGAGAGTTCAACCATTTGCATCACTCAGGGACAAACTCACACCCAGGAATTAGAAACAAGCCTCCCAATCCCAATGCACCCACAAATGGGATGGAGAATTGTATTCAATTCCTTCACTGAAACAATAAACAGAATAAAGACTGCCATCCTTTAAAAGGTATCATAAATGTTCAAGTATAAAGTTGCCTCCCATTTTTTTCAGTAAAAAGTCTCTGCCCTTCAGAGATGGGGGCATGGAGAGGGGGAGCAGCTGAGGACTCTAGACTAAGAAGAGAAGGAATAAGAGCTGGTGGCCAGAAGCAGACTTGCAGAATGTGCCCTTTGGAGATGTAAATTATTATATATGCCTCAGTGGGATTTTTTGTTTGTTTATTTTTTTTAAAAGCTAAAGTGGATAGAGAGAAATACTGTTAACTGATGGTACATGGAAGGGATTATAATCAATGTAATTTGATTTGTTGAATGTAAAATGGATGATATGCCCTGTATATTTTCATTCAATTCACAATAAAAACCTTTAAAAAAAAAAAAAAAAGGCTCTGCCCCTCAAAAAAAGATTTTTTTGGAAAACACAAATGTACAATTTTTAGGAATGTCATGGAATTATCCAATGACTATGCTACTTATCTATGAAACTGCTCCTTTGCATTTAATATTTTTGTTGTTGTTGTTAAGTGCCATGAAGTCGATTCCATAGCAACCCTGTATCAAGTTTCCAAGAAGCAGCTGGTGAGCTTGAACCGCCCAACCTTGCAGTTCAAACAACTTTGCAGTCTGATGCATTAGCCCACAGCGCCACACCAGGACTCCTTGCATTTAATATACAATACACTACATTGCCAATATACACTACACTAAGTTGCTCCTTACTTATGGTGACTGAAACAAAATTTGGCTCAGCCCTGCACTACACCTCAGTGATAGGTTGCAGATGGACCCTTGTGAGCTATAGGATTTTCATTGGCTG